TGTGTATTCCAGTAGGAGAAATATAAGCAAGAACACAATCTAGCTATATGTATATTGAAAAGTAAGTTTAGCAACCATAAGTACCACCTTTTTCAGACAAAGGGTGTTCCTCAGAGATGATAGATTATCAAGTCATTGTACTATTCATCTGAAATGACAGTTTTTGATATAAAGAGTTATAGAACTTAACCCTACAGTTATGGTGCCAGAATTTTCTGTGTGGCAGTCATTCCAGTGACTAATAGTAACCGTCTAGCCTTTCTGCCAGGGAGTTTGCTGCATACAGTTGGCCTGACATGCTCGCTCGGTAGAACAAATCATGATGCATATACACATTCGTATCATGAAGGGTAGGCTTTCCATGACAGCTATAGCCTTGCCCGCCACCAGGATGTTAGTAAAAATGATATCAGCACCACGAAACCAAGCATAGAATATTAAGACAGATGGCAGAAACAGCAAATTAGTTTTCAGTTGAAGGAGACTATAGTCAGTTTAAAAACTAGGATTTTAAAATAGATTTGATTATATCAAGTTTTGTGTTGATAAAAATACAAAACAAATATATATTTTTTTTAATTAGTGTTATTATCATCATTATTATTATTATTATTATTATTATTATTATTATTATTATTATAAAGAGGCCATGTATAGATCACAGTGTTAGAAACATATATATCATATATAAGCTTTTCATGTGTTGACAGCAGAGTAGAATGAACAGGGAAAATTGATGTGCTTATCATAGATGACTAGGGGAATATGTACAATAACCACATTTATGTAAACAGAGTATGTAAAGACACAATAGCATTATATATTGTTTATTGAGGAACATTCAATTTGCATACGTCTATCATAAAACTTAAACTCAAAAATGATACAGTAATTATATACTGTTAGAGAAGGTGACCAAAGATGAGTGGTATTAATAACAGTTTCTGGTTTTTAACTATGACTAATTGATTATTGCAAAAAAGTGGGTTATATTACAGGAAAACAAAAGTTCTGAGGAGTATTGAGACCTAACAGTAATTGTAACTTAAGGAAGGCGAGAAAACTGTCCTGAGTTCTCTAGTATAACTGTTTTGTCAAAATACACAAGGTCCTATTAGGCCTGAGAGTTTGAAAAGGAATGCTGTTCCAAAGTGTGTAGATCTGGTATCCTTTCTTTCATCCACAAGTTTCAAATTTATTTTTTTTTCTAATACAAATAACATAAACTCAGGCACTAGATAATGTTTTTATAGACCTGTCTGCCAATGGGTGAGTATTCTGCAGTGAATAAAAATTGCTCTAAGGATAGTTGTAATCAAGAGAGAGTGTGCTTGCACGCACACATGTGGTTGTAATCATTTGACAGTGTGTGGGTTTGGGAAGGTGGATGTACTGCATAAGTATTTAACTTCTCTGGTTGGCCCATAAGTAGAGTAATAGAATTCTTTCCTCAAACCAGAATGAGTAGTTATCTGTGGGGGTAAATATAAAGTAACAGAAATTCATGTTCTGTATTCAGGTTTATGTTTTTTGTTTCTGTTTTCCTTGAACATGTGATCACTCTTGTGACATCAGTTATGTGATGAGCCCTATGTGTGCATATATCTTTCAGTTCATGTTCCCAAAAGAAAGTTTATGTCATTGTACTAGTTTATGTGAATGAACCCAAACTTTGCTTGTGTTCGATGTTGCTGGACTCTTGAGCATAGACATGTAATCTGTCATGAGGTACTTCTGCTTCCTGTGTACTGAGGTGTTTTGTCTCATTAATGCGGCTCAGTTGAAGGAGTTAAAAGGAGTTAATTTCCCTGGTTCCAACAATCCTCGTTTCTGTCGCTTCGTTTGGGAACGGAGCCGTCATTACCTAAAGCCGGTGAGAAATTTAGCATTTGCAGCAGCCTTATCTGATATCAGCATTTTTTCATTTTTATTCTCAGTCTTATCTATCCCTCTGTTTCTCTAATATATTTTTAAAGGTTTTGTTTTTTATATAAGAATGAATGTTAATGTATTTCCCAAGTTTAATAGTCTTTTGTAGATTTTATTGTTATTGTATATCTATGGTTGTGTCCACTTTAGAGATTGTTTTTGTTTGCCTCCCAGTTTTTTCATTCTCTCTCTTTATATTATTTTCAACATTGCAAGCAGTGTGTTGAAATGGAATGTGTTTTCTTTTGCTTGTCATATCAGTTTAGAGATGTTTTTTTGGTTGCTTCCTAATGTTTTCTTTTCTTTTCATCATTGCAAATTACATTGAAATGGAATATATTTTCTTATGATATATACCAATGATTACAGTTTTTTTTGTCAGTTTCACGTACATACATACATACATCTCTCTCTCTCTCTCTCTCTCTCTCTCTCTCTCTCTCTCTCTCTCTCTCTCTCTCTCTCTCTCTCTCTCTCTCTCTTCTCTCTCTCTCTCTCTCTCTCTCTCTCTCTCTCTCTCTCTCTCTCTCTCTCTCTCTCTCTCTCTATATATATATATATATATACACAC